AAATTCAAAGCGGCGGTGAGAAAATGAGAAATGCTAGCGGCCTGTAAGGAGTAGCCAGCAAGGTGAAAATGAGCGGCGGTGAAAAATAAAAGTGAACATGAACACAGGAAACAAATTATCGGGTAAACATACGACAATTCCTTCATAAAAATGTGTAACTAGGAAGTTTGACATTTTAGTCATACAATACGGTGTTGTAGTCGTGCAAAACAACAGCGAGGGAAAGACAAAAAAGTGTGCTGCATGTGCAAAATTTTCTTTTTGCTAATTAGAAGAAAAAGTGTGCTGCATGTGCAGTTTGTTGTTTTGGTAATTAGATCTATTAGTCTAGAAGCCATTTTCGTGGTCGTCTCCATTAGCATTCCCCTTTTTTTAAAAGTATTATTAACCAGAGCTTCGCTTTTAGCCCTGGCTAAATCTATATATTATTGTTTCAAAAAGCTTAAGTTTATGTTTTAAGCCCATTTCCCAGTGTGGTGTTGACTGTTTTCAAAGATGAACTCCTTGAAGCAAGAAATCGCTCAAATGTCTCTTTCTACAGCCAAATTTATAACTAAATATTATTTGACACGTTTTCTTTCTATTTGCGGTAAGAAAATATATCTGAAGGCCTGTTAAAGTTCTGTAAGCTTATTTCAATAATAATACTACTAATAATATTTATTATTTGGTATTGCACAAATTAACATATATGAAATGATCAAATGCGCATTACAAACTATTAAAGCTAGCTAGAAATATATTGATTGTCGAATTAAACATGAATATATCTGTAAATGACACCTAACTTAATTATTTAGTACTTAACCTATTACTTACAATAATTATAACTAAAAGAAATGTTATATGTTTCATTAAATTTGATAACAAAGAGAGTAAAATTAATATACACCTATGTATAATTAAAAATTGTATGAAAGCTTAACCCTTTCACCACCAGTCGTTTTTTGCAGAAAACAGCCCTGAACACCAGATGTTTTTGGTACTGTTTGGCGAAATTACGTACATTACTTTAATTGCAATTTTCATGGAGAAGGAAGCATTTTTGCAAAAAAGAACCCCATATGATTTTATTTGTTATAAAATTCTCTTTCAGGTAATTCTATTTACATTTTTAAAGGATGAAAACTGACTGAACATGAACCTCTCATAGTTGAGATAACCTACGATTTTGAAAAAAAAAACATATGGTCCTTCTTGAAATGTGTACAAACCCACCAAAATTTGTCCAACAATATTCTAAAATGAAAAAATGCTTTTCATAGGACAACCTTAGATGAAAAAAGCAATTTATCTTACAACAAAAGTCATATTTTTACACTAAAACTCACCCGACTTCATTTGCAAAAAAGTCATGTTGTCATTTGCTAACATCTTTTGAGTAAAAAACTTTAAATTTACCCATTGATTTGTGAGTTTTTACTAGCACTTAGAAATAGTTTTTGTCTCTGTAACAAATGAATTCTGAAATAAAACCTGTTCTTCTATTGAGTTACTGATGTAGTGCCTCTCATTTATTGTCCCTAGCTAGCAAAGTTTTCTTTAGTATGGTAGTCATAGAAGCAATTTGATCCTCCTTCTCCAATGCACAGGTAAACATTGCACTGGCTGCACTTGAAAGTTGTCTTGTGTCTTGGAGAAGGGTTGTCAGGATTTGCTTTCTTTGAAGAGAAGTGCTTTCTTTCACAGACCACACAACGATGATTCTTGCCCTCCCCTTTGAAGGGAAAATGGATTCCAACATTACTGAGACGTTCAGGCACTGGTGTGTCTGCACTCCTCTTTCTTTTGTTAGAGGCAGTTGATTTGTGTTGCTGTGGGAAGTTGCCAACCAACTGCACACAAAGGTCTTCCTTGAAAGACAATAGATCCCTTTTCCTTCTTCCTCTTGGAGTTTGTGGGCGCTTGAACCCCTCAAGAATGTAAGCATTGTAAATGCTTAGAAGGACCATCTTCAGGAAAATGCGAAGGTACCACCTCTTCTGTTTCTTTGACTTATTGACTGCTGTCATTTGGTCTGAGAGATCGACTCCTCCCATAAAGTTATTGTAGGACTTGACAATTCCTGGCCTGTAAATCTTCTTGGTAACCCAGCGTCCTCGTTGCTTGACCCTTCTACACACCACGTCACTTTCATTTCTGACTTCTTCTGATTCAGCCCCAGAGTTGTCATCTTCGACCCAATCTGGTACCACTGGTGGGGAATGTATTGTAGTTAGAAAATAGACCTCTTTTTTGTCTTTCCACCTCAAAGCTGTCATTCCTTGTTCCTTTGCAGTAAGCCATGCCACTTCTCCTCGTTTCCTGAGAACAGCTCTTTTCAATTGTTCATGCGGGTAGCCCTTGCGAGGTCTTGCTGTCCCAGCAGCAAGAATTCCCCTTGTCCTCAACAAAAGGAAAAGAATTGGGCTGGTGTAAAAATTGTCAACATAAAGGTGATGGTTTGTATTGTGCAAATCTGCAACCAAATCCATGACAATCTTACCGGGTCTTTCCGATGTTACCAGCCTCTCTGTCGTCCTTCCCAGCATAGATAGAGAAATTCTTGCAATAGCCAGTCTTGGAATCACAGAGTTGAAAGAATTTCACTCCAAATTTGATTGGCTTATCTGGCATTCTCACCTTTATGGCTAACCTCCCTTTGAAAGGAACCATAGCTTCATCAATGGAGATTTCACGGGAGCAGTTAAAAGTTCCTTGAATTTCTGAACAATATCATGATAAATACCTCTCACTTTATATAAAGGGTCTTGCTTTTCTTCTTCTGTTTGTTCGTGGTCTGGGTCGCAGAAGAATATGTACGATTTTAACTGGAAGAAACGTTTTCGAGATCGCAAAATGTTTTTCACTCCTGGAATGTGAAATAGCCTTGCTTCTGCAGATGACAGGAAGTAGCGTTCGTCGCGTGGGACAACAATAATGTCATTCGAAATGATCAACATTGCAATAAATGCCTTTAACTCTTCGGATGTGACAGGTTGCCAATTTGGTACTTCTTTCTTCTGAGCATTCTTGTTTGTAAATTCCACAATTTTACCGATGATTTCCTCGGTGAAAAACAACGAGAAAAAGTCAAAAGCCTTACCAGTATCAGGTAAGTTTATTGTCGGACCAGGTGTTAACGTGAACGGTTGCATGTCTACATCGAAGCGCTGGTTCTCCCACTTCATGTTTTCGGCAAATCGAAATTAAAACCAGCGAAATCCTCTTCCTCTTCATCGCTATCGAACAGCTCTTCAAGGACATCGTCATCTTGGAAAGAATATTCGCTTGAAGATGATAAATCTGATCCAGAATTGTCGCTCTCGTCACCAAGACATTTAAAAATGGCGAAGTTCGAATTTTATCTCGTTGAACTTTCAAAACAAAATATCTCGAAAACTTTGTATGAAACCGCGTGGTGATAAAAACACGATTGCATTACTCAAACCCTCCCTAGGAAAATGGCAATATCTGGGCCCCCCAATTGCTAAAAAAAGCCTGGTTACAGAGCGGTAATGTATGTAAATTTATTTGGCCGCTAAAGGGGCCACGAGTGTTGCAGTACCTTTTTGTCAGTGGCCTCTAAAGAGGCCACCGGTGGTGAAAGGGTTAAGATAAGTCTTTAGCTGTGTCTTAAAAGTATAATAGTTGTCCTGTTTCCTAATGTCCTTTGGTAAAATCTTCCAGATTCTAGGGGTGGCTACTTTGAAAGTCCTGTGTCCAAGTGTCTTCTTTGATCGTGCCCTATAATCCTTGAGTAACATCTCCCCGTCCGATCTAAGATTGCTATAGCATTGCTATCTTAAAATTTACCCTATTCGTTACTGAAAGCCAATGTAAATTAACAATTGTAGGAGTAATGTGATCTTACTTTGCAACGTTACTAACAAGGCGAGCCACTCCATTTTGTAAACGCTGTAATTTACTTAGCTGGGTGGATGGAACACTAACCAAGAGGCTATTACAATAATCTATACGTGACATTATAACTGCTTGAACTATAGACTTCCTGTCATCATAACTCAAATACCTGGTAATGCGCTTAATGTTATACAGATGATAAATAGCAGCTTGGCACGTTTCATTTATGTGTGCAGACGTGGTGAGGTTCGTATCAAGCCATGCCCTGAGGTTCCTAACAATCATTACAGCCGGCACTTTTGCTTGGCCAACCACAATTTCAGATACATTATGTTTATCTAATTGAACGCGTGCGCCAATAATCATAAATTCCGTCTTTTCCATCGTTCAGTTTTAACCTATCTGCGATCATCCAACTTCTAATATCTGTAATGCAATCTTGAAGAGCAGCGATAGGATCTTGTTCCCCTGCAGTAGAGTCCAGCTTGAAAGATAAATATATCTGGGTGTCATCAGCATAAGCATGAATATCCGGGAGATGGTTCTTAACAACCTCAGAGTTTACTTGCATACATCGTGAATAATAAAGGGCCTAGACAAGAACCCTGAGGTACCCCATGAGGCAGTGGAAAGTCATCAGAGTATGTCTGGTTTATGTACACTCGTTGGGTTCTGCGTGTCAAATATGATCGAAACTATTGAAGAGCAGTTCCCATAATGCCATAAGTGACCTCAAGACGACGTAACAACACTCAGTGATCAACAGTATTGAATGCCTCACTCAAATCGAGAAGTATAAGGAGGGTGACATGCTGACGATCCATAGCCAATACGATATCATTTTGCACCTTGAGCAAAGCTGTCTCTGTACTATGCCCTGCACGATATGTTGATTGAAGTAAAGGATACAGACCCGAGCACGATACGTGTTCTGCCCTCTGATCACACACAGCTCTCTCTGTCAGTTTAAAGATAAACTGAAGGTTGCTAGGTGGTCTTAAATTCGTCAGAGAAGCAGCTTGACCAGACTTTTTCAGTCTAGGATCAACAAGTGCAGCCTTCCACACCTCGGGAAAATACCTGAGAGAGAGGGAAGAGTTCAAGATAAGAGATATAGAGGGCAGAAGTTCGTCAACCACACTAACGACCAGTGATGTTGGCATAGGATTAAGTGTGCAGCTTTTCTTTGACGATTTCTGAATGAGCTTTTTCACTTCCTCAGTAGAAAGTGGTGTGAAATCGTGAAGTTTCTGATCACCATCAAAGACTGAATCATGATGAACCCTACCATGAGCTTCCATGGTGGCAGCATCAAGATTAGTACAGATGTATGATCTTACGATAGAAAAATCGACCAATATCATTGGCCAATGTTGCACCGTTGACATATTCCGGGAAGGATAAATCATCCTTAGAAAGAAGAGGTCCTCTGGTGGCCCTGAACAGCCTACCCTGATCACCACCGTTTTCACACATGAAGTCCGCATAGAAATTCCTACGTGCTTTGGTGCTGATGTAGGTGACATGATTTTTCAATCTCTTGAATGTCTCCAGGTCCTCAGGTAACCTAGTCTTTCTCCGTCTCCGCTCTGCTTTCCTACACTGTCTCTTCACCTCTACAATGTCCGCGTTATACCAGGAGGGCTGGGGCCTAGCCCTCACAGTTTTCGTTTTTAATGGCACGTGGTGATCCATGATACTGCTCAAACTCGCATTGTAGTCGCGTACAAGCATATCCAGCTCAGAAGATGACATGGGAGTGCCTTGGCCACCATTATATAGGTCTAACAGTGCTAACTCTCCCTCGAGACAGTCCATATCCACTGCTTTCACCATTCTGTATATCTTTTTTACTTGAAACGCAGGCTTGTTGAAGTTCATGTTACAGTGAACTGTCGCGTGATCAGAGAAATAACGACAGACCCGTGATGGACGAGCTATGATATTCTCCATCTTCCGTGTGATGATAAGATCAAGGGTGTGGCCATGGGTGTGGGCCGGCCCTCTCACATGCTACTCAAGACCAAGTGATTCCAAAAGATCCATAAATTTTACTGTATAAGCGTCGATCAAGACATCCATGTGGATATTAAAGTCCCCAAGAATGAGTAGATGATCCTTTGACAAGATGATGGATTCCATATAGCTGGAGAACTCACTCAAAAAGGTGACCACGGGAACCCTGTGGTCCTCAGAGTGTGGTGGTCTGTAAATTATGACAACTCTGATCTTTAGCGAGGATGAAATCTGTACCAACAATTCACAGTACTCAAAGGATTCCTTTTCACCGTTACGGACCTTAGTCACCTGCAGAGAGTCCTTGTAGAGAAGACCAATGCCTCCACCGCAACGCTTTGTATGAGGGTAGTTTATCAGCTTGTAACCGGCTGGACAAAGTTTCACTCTAATTGCATCATCGATTGTTTAAACTCACTCAGACCTGATACTAGGTCAGATCATTGACTCAAATCATACAAACGTGCATAAACTTGCCACATAAACTGTGCTCAACTTCATGAAATTAGATATAACAAAAACAAACATAAAATACAATAATTACTCAGGCTTATTATTTGAGATTCAGTTCCTGAAAGCTATCAAGAAAGGCCACAGTTGCTTGAGACTTTCAAACCCTCTTACGCATTAAGCAGGGTAAAAAACAAAAACGATGCCATCCAAAATCGAATTACCGAATTTTGACAAGTGACGCATTTCTCAACCAAAATCCCAGTAAACAAACCAGCTAGGAATAACAGAAGACTCTTGATAGCAGGTGTATTTCATCTTGTACATTCAGAGGAAGAATATAGTCAAAAACATCGCAAGTTAACACAAAACTCTGTCATCTTCAGCTGTGAAAGTAAACAACTCTCAAGATGCTGCATAAATTTTCCGCATAAACTCACCTGTCAAATCTGGACCAATCAGAGCATAAAAATTGGACGTAGAACGTAGAGCGTGACTAACGGATGACCATGGTAAGAAAAAGGTCTTCCCCGCCTGTATTTTTAAAAAAACTGGCTGAATTTTCGCGTCCAAGGTCAGTTTGAAATCAAAATCTTAATAGTACGGGGCCATAGTGACATAAACACAACATATTTAATATGAATCACTGGAAAAAATAAACTTCAGCCTGCGATCATTTGAAACTGGTACATGCAGTAAGCAAAACACTTCTGCCATCTTTGCTGATTGCTGCATTCCTTGACCTTTTCTGGAGCCTCTGACAAGGTTTTCAGTTGAGGGGATTGTCCTTTCTTATGTACAGCGAAGGCATCATAAAGCTTGCCAACGGAGTTTAAAAATCTCCCTGTTTCAGAAAAAGGTGTGATTATTTTCAACGAGTTAGATTGGGCATCGTATATGTATACAA